GGACGCGGCGGACTTCAGTGTTTCGGTGTTTTCATGGTTGTATCCACTAGACCCTGGTTGATAAGAGATAAGCTAAAGGAAATTAATATAGAATTGCTTTATCTTACAGGCAAGGTTTTTGTTTTTTTTTTTTCATCATTTTGATTGCTGGTGTGAGAGAGAGTGTCAGACTCTTACTGACTAAAAGCCCCTGTTCCTTCTCCTGCTCTAGGCCGAGGACCTGGCACCCCATTGCGCTTGCCCCGCGCCCCTATAGGGCGCTATTTGATGATCTTTGAATTTTGAGGCGCACTTGGAATGCTATGCGCCATATACTCGAGTCTGGTCCCAGTCGGGCGGCGAGTTGCGGTAGCTGGAGACTGTCCCTGACCATACCAGCCCTATTAATTGAGTTGATCATGTCATTTTATTTAGAAACGTCATCAGACAAACCCAGAAAAAATTACAATGACACTAGGATAACCTGCACCCACGACACAGGAGAAAAACCCAGTGTGGGGCGACGGTTTTAAAAAGAAATAATTATCTAAAAGGAAAAATCTCTACCGGAAATGATAAAATAAAAAACCTACCTACTTATAGTTAATATACTTAATAAATAAATATTTTGCGGTAGATTTCTCGATAACACTGACAATCCGCTTATGTACCTAAAATCAAAGACAAAGATAACTGTTATCTATGACCATCTTTATAAGCTGGCAACTACTACTACTATCAATCTATAATACTTATTATTATATCGAAGAAATATTCGGTTGTATATCTGTTTCTATTGAATACGCTTCAAAACTACTTGACCGAATTAAGATAATTCAGCACTTGACTTACGGCTGATTTTTCAGTAGTAAGATAAATGTTATCTAAGGAATAAAATTGTTGCTGTCACTGTCTTATACAAACATTCTGACGCGACAGCATCATAATTATTCCTAAAGTAACTTTTATTTATCCATTATAAATTCAGCCAACAACAAATTATATTTTTTACTTTTCATAATTAAAATAAAATAATCAAATTTTTTGACACCTGCAACGGAGGAGTTACGAGTGCGTTGCCGACCTTTTAGGGATTAGGGATTTGGATATTTAGGGATTGGGGGAGGGGAAGGTTTAGGCCTCCAGTAACCTCACTCACACGGCGAAACACAACGCTGTGGTTGTTTCAAGACGGTTTTCTGTGAGGCCGTGGTACCACTCCGGTCGAGCCGACCCATTCGTGCCGAAGCATGACTCTCCTACATTTATTTCTGCGAAAGTTTGGATGTTTGTAAGTCAATAACGACAAAACTGTTGGACAAATCTGGATGAAATTTGGCACAGGCATAGGATACACTCCAGAATAGGACATAGGCTTTATCAACATACTACGCGGGTGAGGCCGCGGGCGGAAGCTAGTTTCTTTACATCTTTAAAACAACACATTTGTTATAAAGATTAATATCTTATCAATGTTGTTGTTGTTAATACCTCCTCATCCGTTTAAGTACATCCGTACTTGATATAGGTTATTTTTTTCAAGGCGGCATTAAGCCAATGCATTCCGTGTGGGGTAAAGGGGAGTGTCAGACTCTTACTGATTAAAAACCAACCCTGTTCCTTCTCTTCCTCCAAGATTGGCCGTTGTTCCTCTTTGCAATTTATTATTGCACACGCAACCCTAGTTGGAGATCGGCCCTAGTAACCTTTTTCGATGGGGAAAAATCATCAATAGTCTTGTCTCAGAAGCGGAGCGCGTAACAGGCGACACTCCGGGCGTCGGGGATCAAGAGACGATGTCCGGCCACCGTAAGCGCGGGTCTGCAGACGGCGAGTAAGGGCAGCTCGCCGACCGACCAGAACCAGACAGAGCGTACGGCGCGTAGCGTTCCTCGCGCGCCTCAAAGAGCCAATAGACCACCACAGACGGGGCCATATAGGGCTGATGTTCAGCCGGGGTTGCGGGGTAAGCGCAATGAGGCACTGTGGCCTCGCCCCAGAGCAGGAGAAGGAACGGGGGGGTTTTTAGTCAGTAAAAGTCTGACATTCCCTCCCGCCCGACCCTCACAAAAAAAATCGGACGCCGCTGTGCATAATTGCGGTTGCCACCCATCCCTGGCCAGATATGGGTGACCTTCCAACCTAAAATGTTTTATACCGGGATATGAACTTGGGATCTCATACTAAACGCTTCAACCACTGTATTAGTGAGTCAGTCAACGTTCTGATAAATCACAAATAGATACTGAATGCCGTACGTCAATAGTGGTTTGTTATGGAGGACTTTTAGTGTGTTTCCATTGTAATCCGAGACGGCTTGACGTATGAGATTCCTAAAAAATAATAATCTGTAAAACACATTCTTCAAAGTCAAAATCAAAATCAGTTATTCCAACTAAACCATAAATAAGTACTTTTGAAACGTCAAAATAGAATAATAGTCTGTCAGTCTGTTCGTCAGTGAAGCTAGGTGCTCGTTCCAAACTGAAGATTCGAATGGAGAAGAACGAGCAAGAAACTCCGCCGTCACTTTTTTTTTAAAAGCAATAGGTATTTTATGAAGTAGTTCAGGAAATATGAAGTAGATCACCTAATAATAATAACATGGACATTTGCAATGCTTGCTTTGCCGGCGTTTTGAGGATTAGGAGTTTAAGGATTTCGGTTTTTTTTATTATTGGTGATAGGGGTAGAATAACGACTAAATCATGTAGGTAACAAAGAAATGAATTATAAAAGTGATTGAAAAAGAGTAACCATGGAGTTTCTTGCTCGTTCTTCTCCATAGGAATCTACACTTTGGAACGAGCAAATAGCTTCACTGGAGGGCAGACGGACAGACTGAAACGCATAAAGTTAAACCTTGTGATATGATTGTTTGTTTGCTTGATGTTCAAATGAGCTTGTTGTGGTCTATATGAAATAAATGATTTGACTTTACCGGAGCTCGTTACTTGGTGAAATATCATTGACCGTTATTTCAATTTATTATACTTAGGTTATTTTATTTTTTTACTTGGCTTGTATATTTAGGTACTGAATGCCAGCTTCGCTTTCTGATAAGCCTAGAAGTGACTACAAAGCGTAGAGAGCGTGGAGAACTATCATTCTCTGATGATGATGACGTCTAGATTACTTCTACTGTCACACTTTTATTGTCTTTTTATATGCTGCATCGTGCCTGGTGTTGAATAAATGTCTTTTCTTTCTTCCTATCTCTTCTGCTCTACTGCTTCTCCCATACACAAGTAGGTACAGTTCTAATAAGTCGTGCGTACCTATAATTTGTTTGAATGCAAAATATAATTAAATCATATTATATGTTTATATGTATATGTATAAATAGATATCTCGTACATCGCTTCAAGTACGTGATGGTATGGTGTGTGTATTCGTTGTTCATACGATGCGTTATTTTAGGTATGTATAGTATTAGCTGCTTACAATTTTACCCCCATTTGGGACTGCCATATTGGGACTTAAAGTGGATGTTACATAGTCTATGTGATCCTCTAAAAGAAGAAAAAATCCCCTGTATTACGCTGTGAATTCATACATATTATTATATAAAAGACATAAACATACAAATTTCAAAACATACAAATGACGGTTGGCACAGTAGCTGGGCGCTGGCTGCTATGCAACGTGTCGTGGGTTCACAAATTGTAGTTTCCATCATAACGCAAAAGGGCAGTTCTTAACTTAATGCTCTGCTTACACCGTCGAAGATTACCGGCCATGATAAAAATATAATGTACGGTGAAAAATATAGTTTTTTTCTTGTTTCAGGGTGACAATTATTGATATACAAATTGTAGGAGAACCTTGCTTTGGCGCGAAGGGACCGGCCGCCCGGCTCGACCAAAGTGATACCACGACCTCACTGAAAACCGGCGTGAAACAACTGCAGCCTTGAGTTCTGTCATGTGAGTGTGATTATAGGAGGCTTACCAGCCTCCAATACCAATAATACTCCTAACCAGCGAAAGGCTAGCAACTTACTTTTAGTTATAGTATATTATAGTTCATTGAAAAAGACTTCAAAAGAGACTGACTTCTGAGTTTGTTTCGGCATTTCTTCTCAGAGTAGTCAGATAGAAAATGCCAGCTTCATCTATTTTTTCGCACATAATTTGACGTGTAAAAGTGCCGTTTTATGGCCTATTTGCAGAAATAAATTCATTGTTTCATTGCTTACCTACCATTAAGTAGGTAACTGAGACCTCGTTTCCCGACCTACTCCGATGCTGGTGTACGTGTCATGTATGTATGTTCGTGAAAGGACGCCGTTAATTGGGACTGGTCAGCTCCGGACAGTCTATTGTCCTTAAGGTCCTTTCCTTTTTATATTTCTTTGAATTGTTTTGTTGCCATATAATCGAACTAACTTATTAATGTACCAAAGAATTTGTACCTATGTGAAATTGACTAAAAAAAGCAATTATATGGAATTACTTGCTCGTTCTTCTCCATTGGAATCTACACTTTGGAACGAGCAAATAGCTTCAATAAGAGCGCTGACCTACAGACTGACACTTTTTTAAAGTTTGTTTGACGTTTAAAAGTGCCTGTTAAGGTTTAATGGAAATCAATGACTTTGACTTTGACAATGTTCAAACTAAAACTGGAATCACTCCAATAAATATTTCACTACATAGGTACTTCGTTTCATTTTATGATACAAAAACGAAGGTAACAGTATTCGCCTTGGTTTTGTTCGACTTGATTGAAATTAAATTGCAAACTGCAATTCACTATCGAGAATGATTCATTTATTTTTTGTCTCAAAACTAACCAGACTACATTACGACCGCCATTTTAAAAATAACTCGACGTCATAAAGTCAAGGCCGTTCCGTTATAAGTAACCGATAAATATTAGCAATATGGCGTCTTATAATCATTATTATGAATCATACGGTTTACAATGGACACAAACTTGCACACACACATTTATAAAACTGATATATTTACATCAAATATTACAATCTTATATCTTCTGTTGTTATCATCTTTAATTCCATTGAGATAAGGCCGTGTTTTGATTATATCAGCGTGTTATTAAATTGGCAAATACTACAGTCTTGTTTTTGCGTTCAAATACTCAATACATTTGAGTTGTAGTTTTGTTGTGGAGAACACATAATTTGCGTTTTATAAATGTAAGTAAATGATTATTGTGTGTTTTGTCATAGTAGTTATAGGTTTTTTAATACAAAAATACTTGGAACACGGAAATTTACTATAAAGTGATAATAATACTCTATAGTTCGTTTATGGTTGACAAGTTGAGGTTATATTTTCTTTTATTTTTAATCTGCGCGCGGGAAAAGTTTTGACATCTTACTTTTTTCGATATTTTTTTAATGTTTATGTTGATACGTTGTTAATGTCATGAACTTTGTTTACTTTCGTCTGATTTCATTATTTTACATTTACCCACTGAATTGTTTTTATTTCTTTTTCTAAAATGTTTGATGGGTATTACGAACTTTATACCTACAATTATTACGTATGTAAGTAGGTACTTAAGAATGGATTATTAATGCCAAAGGTAAGGCATCTTACTGGTAAATCGTTAGAATGAAAAAGAAGACAGTTGGTGGCAGCAAAGTAACAAAAAAAGAAAAATGTTTTTTATTATTAATTAGGTATTTCCTACACTAGGTACCTAGTTAACATCTTTATATTTATAAATAATACTTATACATAAATTTCTCGAGGGATAAAGTTATGTTTATACCATAACGTTCTATATTCAAAATCTGATACATAGTACCTAGTTATATTATATAAAGACAGTTTTTTAAATACGATAAATTTTAACTTATTTTTTTTTTCTGTTATCTATATAATACAATCACGTGACTGGCTATGTGAATGAAAAAAAAATATTTCCTACGTAGTAGTAAAATTTATTGATAAGAAAAATAAACATTGTAATTGATTAGTAAGTGCGAAAGAGCCATGCTTTGGCACGAATGCGCCGCCTCCCGGAAAATGGGCGTGAAAAACCACAGTTAAGTTTCACCGTATGAGTGGGGTTATCGGAAGCGCAAACCTTTATGGTCTTTCGTTCACCCGGGGTTACGGGACAAGTGCAGAAAAGGGGGGTTTTTAGTCAGTAAGAGTCTGACATTCCCTCCTGCCCCAGGGCGAGAGAAATCACTTTTCCCCGTTTTTCCAATACTGAATCCCCTAACGACCAAAAAAGGAACAGCAACGCATTTAAGCGACTTTCAATGGAACATACCTACTCATAAGCGCGGGTCTGCCGATGGCGAGTTAGGGCAGCTCGCCGCCCGACCAGAACCAGACCCGAGCGTACGGCGCGTAGCGTTCCGCGCACGCCTCAAAGAGCCAATAGACCACCACAGACGGGGCCCTATAGGGCTGATGTTCAGCCGGGGTAAGCGCAATGAGCGACCGCGACCTCGTCCCAGAGTAGTAGAAGGAACGGAGGGGGTTTTTAGTCAGTAAGAGTCTGATACTCCTTCCTGCCCCATCCTGGGCGGGAGAAGTCATTTGATGTTTTTCCCCTCACAAAAAAAACCTTTCCATAAGCAACCTATTTATTATGATTTATTGTTGGACTCCGATAGCTTACCATCAGATAATCCGTCTGCTCGTTTGCAGACTGAACACATAAAAAATATGGAAGACAAAAAGTAATTCGTCATTCGTAATTTTTTATCTGTCATCATCATCATTATCATCAGCAGCAGCCTATAAGTGTCCACTGCTGAGCCTAGGCCTCTTCTCACACAGAGAAGGTTTGAGCATTAACCACCACGCTTGCTCAATGCGGGTTGGCGATTTCAAACTTATAACTAGAAATTACAAGTCCAGGTTTCCTCACGATGTTTCCCTTCACCGTATGTCAGTGGTGTCTAAATAATCATAGAAAGTACGTATAACTCGGCAAAAGTCACATTGGTACTTGCCAGGTTTCGAACCCACACCCTCAACTGTCAATGAAGAATATTTTAGTATCTGTAGAACTTAGTAATTAATTTTATTACCTACATACATCGGTTACTTATAATGTTTATTTATGCATTCGACATGAATTTCTTAGCATGATATTGTGAATGTTAAGCTAATTACTTAACTAATTAAACAAATAGCACTAGCGTTAAAAAGGATCACGACTTCATTCAACAGTGGCGACACTTGCAAACTGACACTTGCGTGCCTGTCTTCAGAACGGGTCCACTTAAACTGGTGTGGTTCTTTCCTCAAAAGACCACTACAGAATGAACTTGCACGGTTCTCTCACATTATGTTATTTTTACATTGTCTGGACTTGAAAAAAGACTGACCTCTGAGTTTGTTTCGGCATTTTTACTCAGAGTAGTTAGATAGGAAATGCCGGCTTCATCTAATTTTTCACATATAATTTGACGTGTAAAAGTGCCGTTTTATGGCCGATTTTCAAAAATAAATTCATTGTTTTTGTTAGTGCAAAAATGGACAATATAATCCAACCACGGAATAGAAAATACAGAATACTTAATTTTCTGTTCTGTGAATCCAACCTTTTTAGTTATCTGTACGACTAACTACTAGATAGAGCTGATAGTTTTGGAAAATCGAAGGGCTAATCTAAGGAGTCGCTGACAAGATCCCTTGGTTAATAGTTGACCAACGATGGTCATGCATAATTAAATGCTGACACCATTTTTACTAGTAATATAGCGAATCCCGTTAATTAAAAAGCTTAATAATCGAAATTTTTGGAGGCTATCGCTTTTAACGATAATAAACAGCCATGACCACTCTGACAAGAGTGGAACGACTAAGAAGAAGAATCGTTTTTAAGGCGCCTACCACGGGCTGGATTAGTAGAAGGAAGGGAGTGGTTTTTAGTCAGTAAGAGTCTGGCACTCTCTCTCGCCATACCCTGGGCGAAACACAACATTAAATGATTAGTTCCTTAAAAAATAAAAATAAAACAAGACATCGATGTTCCTGAGGTCATTCTCTCAAATAAAGCTACCAAAAATTTAACGTCAATTATTTGACACCAGTTTATTCCCTATTTATTTATCACTTACACCGGTGACCTCCGATAGCGGATGATTTGCCTTCAACAGTTTTCTGTCGGCTTAAGTAATTCCTCCATGACTATCATCATAATTCTCGACACACTACAAATGCGAAAGTAACTCTGTCTGTCTGTCTGTCTGTCAGTCTGTCTGGCTTTTCTTCACGCCTAATCTACTGAACCGATTTCTGTGTGGTACAGAAGTAGTTTGGAACTTGAGAGAGGACATAGTTTTGGACAGGTCACTGTTCCACGCGAACAAAGTCGCGGGCAAAAGCTAGTATTCAATAAATATTAATGAATTATTATTGGTAAACAGATAAAATAACATACAATCATAGATCTTCAATTGGCACTTATGTTAAACTTTTTTTATTATAATCGGCATCGAGAAAAAATGTAAAATAAGAAAATATTTTTTGTTTCTAGATGCCCTTCGAGAGACCAGCGAGTTTACCAATCGGACAGGTCTGGAGCAGATTTAAAGGAAGAGAAAGAGATGGAAAACCAGCACACATGTAATGTATAACCATTTTATACTTAGAATTACATTATTAGGCAGAATCCTGCATCGAGACGAGTCAACAAGTGGGTCGGTGGGTCGATCGATGCTGATGCTGATGATGTGGTAGTGATACCACATCATCATCAGCCTATAAGTGTCCACTGTTGAGCAAAAGCCTCTTCTCACACGGAGAAGGTTTGAGCATTAGCATCACCACGGCTTGCTCAGGGCGGATTGGCAATTTCAAACTTATTATTATAGGTTTCCTCACGATGTTTTCCTTCACCCTATGTCAGTGGTGTCTCCATAAATGCGGAAAAAATCACATTGGTACTTGCCAGGTTTCGAATACCCTTATACATGAGAAGCTGGCACCTGGATTTCTGGGCCTCGCAGAATATGGACAAGAAACAAAGATTACGTTTGTGAAGATTTTGGAAATTCAAAACATTTACGCACAATTCATTGCGTATTTTTTAGTTCCATACTAGCGAGATCTGCAGTAAAAAAAGCGTTACCTATTCTGTATTCCGTCCGTGCCATTACTGAGAAAATCGACCAAAATTGTTACGAAAAAGTCCAAAAATACTATATATGATTTACTAAGCCGTGAATAGATCCAAAATTCCCTTGCTCGGTGATGGCCCTTGATCAACAAAGCAGACTACAGAATTAACAGCTAGGCATCGTAGCCTCAGCCTAGAGCAGGAGAAGGAACGGAGGTTTAGTCAGTAAGAATCTGAAAGTCTCTCTCGCCTTACTAGGCAGGAGAAGACATTTGTTGACAAAAAAGCCTACAGAATTATAGTTTTTTTTCAGGTACCAAATACGAGACATGGATGAGAGCACAAGAAAAATTTGCTTAGACATGATGCAGGAAACATTCATTAGGGACGAACCACTTTGTCAAATATTAGGTAAGGATAATATATTAAAACTATATTGAAATCGGTTCATTCTTTCGGCAGATATGATACCACAGACAGACAGACACGTCCAACTTATAAAACGCATCCTTTTGCATCGGGAGTTAAAAATAAAAAAAATAGCCATTCTCGCGCGTTACCGCCCGCTGCTTGGCTTCATTAGATCGTAGCGTGATGTTTCTCTCTATTGACTCAGGAATATTGTAGCTATATATCAGTGAAAGATTTTTGGGAATCCGACCAGCAGTTCCAACTCACCCCTACATACAACTTACAAATTGTACCTTTTTTTTAATGGTATAGATCGACAAACGAGAAAACAGATTACCTGATGGTAAGTTATCAGCGCCGCCCATAGACACCCGCAATATCAAAGGAGTTACGAGTGCGTTGCCAGCCTTTTAGGGATAAGGGATTTCGGGAGGAAACGCCCGAGTGTCGTCATTGTGAGGACCACCTAGAGGATACGGTGGAGCATACGGTGGCAGTATGCTGAGCAACGCCGTGATCTCAGGGAAGTAATAGGCGACGGCGACCTGGTCCTGACCATGGTCGAGGCCATGGTACGCCTCCTACTGTGAAGCAGTGATGCTCGCAAAGGAGGAGGCGGAGCGCATGAGGGAACTATCCTCCTCGCGCCCCAGCCGCCGCAGTAGGCGACATTCTGGGCGTCGGGGATCTAGAGCTGATCTCCGGCCACCGTAAGCGCGGGTCTGCGGACGGCGAGTAAGGGGAGCTCGCCGTCCGACCAGAACCAGACCCGTTAGCGTACGGCGCGTAGCGTTCCGCGCGCGCCTCATAGAGCCAATAGCCCCATAGGCCTCGGCCCAGAGCAGGAGAAGGAACGGGGGGTTTTTAGTCAGTAAGAGACTGACACTCTCTCTCGCTTTAGGTACCCTGGGCGAGAGAAGTCATTTGATTTTCCCCTGACAAAAAAGGTGTTATGTGTATAGGTGTTAAGATCATTATGGACCCCGTCGGGCACAGCAAATCACAAAATAATGAAATTAAATTATACCAATTATGATTTTTTTTTTACATTACATTACTTAGATGCACTAGCACGGCTTGAAACTAGTCGAGTATCTCGTCAAATTATTACGTGAGTAAGCCGAAAACATAATAATTAATTTAGAATGTCCCACGAAAGTTATAATAATAAAAACAAGATTACTTAGATGTCTAGAAAGTGTGACTAAAAGTCACACTTCCCCGTTCCTTTTCCCCGCTGACGCGAGGCGGTACGATGCGGACTATGTTTTATAAATCATCATTATAATCATCTTAATAACAGCCACATAGACTTCCCCAAATGACTTCCAGCGAGGTCGGTGAAAAGCGTTGGTAGTTTTATTAATGTTATGCATAATTCAATATTGACATGCCTGTTAAGCGTGAGTATTATGGCGAAGTACTTTTCAGAAGAGAAAGGCCTATAGACCAGGAGAAGACTCTCAAGGACTGATGATAATGATAAAGTATGGATAATAAACCAACTATCACAATTCCAGGTATAAACAACGACCCGGTTTCCATAGCAACCATCAGAGCGAATTGGGAGAAGTACGTTTCTGGGAACACAAGCCTAGCTTGTTTCACGGAGGTGGATGGACAGCCTAAGGACCTGGTCGGCTTCAACATCGTCCTGGTGAAGAGTAAGGATGATGAGGAAGAGGATTTTGATAAGGTAGGTCTTGGTGGCTTGTTTTAAGACGGTCACGGAGAGGGATGTAAAAGAAAAGACGGATTACCTGATGGTAAGTAACTAGTGCCTCCCATAGACACAATAACACCAAAAGAGTCACAGTGACAAGTTAGTTAATGGTCTTTTGAGGAGGGTGAGAGAGCCATGCTTCGGCACGAATGGGTTGGCTTCGACTGGATTGATATCACGGGCTCAGAGAAAACCGGCTTGAAATAACCACAGCATTGTGTTGCACCTTATGAGTGAGTGAGGTTTCCGCAGGCCCAATCGTACGTCTCTCTATCCCTAAATCTCCGATACCCTAATCCCCAAAAAGCAGGCAACTTTGTCGTTACTTCTCTGGAGTTGTGGGTGTCCATGGGCAGCGCTGATTGCTTACCATCAGTTTTTAGTGGCTTTTAGTCAGGAAGAGTTTGGCGGGCAGCATTGTGTTGCGGCTAATGAGTGAGTGAGGTTTCCGCAGGCCCGATCCTTCATCCCGTCCCTCTATCCCTAAATCTCCAAAACCCTAATCTCCAAAAAGCAGGGAACTATCTCGTTACTCCTCTGTTGTTATGGAAGTCCATGGGCAGCGCTGATTGCTTACCATCAGTTTTTAGTGGTTTTTAGTCAGGAAGAGTTTGGCGAGAGAAGTCATTTGAAGATTTTGTGTTCTCAAAAAGGAAAAATGACTTGACCATTTGGATTAGTTTGTAATCATTTCTACTTGATACTGATAAAAATGATCGTATAGAAAATCTGATGGTTATATAACTTAATATCTAATCTCTGTTGTCATAAAACGGATATTATTAATTCCGTGGTAGATTGTTAGATGAGATTATATACTGATATCGCTTACCTAACATAATACTATGTCATATAGTTATGTTTCTTTAGGGAAAAATTCCAATGATACTTGCCCTTGGTAAGGAAAGAGGGAGTGCGCCGCCTATTGGGACTGGTCATCTCCAGGCCGTCTAAATATGTTGTCCTTGAGGTTTCTTGAACTTCTTTTTCTAATTCTTTGCCTAACCATTAGTGTTACACTGTTCTCACATATGAAAAGAATTGTAAAACTGATTGAAAAAGAGTAACCATGGAGTTTCTTGCTCGTTCTTCTCCATAGGAATCTACACTTTGGAACGAGCAAATAGCTTCGCCAGAGGACAGCCGGACAGACAGACTGACACGAAAAACCTATTGAAATATATTTTCTTTTTGTTTTTGCTTGACGTTAAAAAATGGCCTTATTGAAATAAATGATTTTCTGTTTTTTTTTTTGAGTGGATAGACTATGACAAAAACTGCCACGTTTTCCTTTTTATCCGAGCTGAGATATATCGACAAACGAGCAGACGGATTACCTGATGGTAAGCAATAGGTTCCACCTGTGTACAACCCTATTACTAGAAGAGCAAGGAGTGCGTTGCCAGCCTTTTGGGATTAGGGTTTCAGAGATTTAGGGATTCGGAGAGGGGTAGGATTGAGTTTCCGGTAATCTCACTCACATGGCGAAAGAGAACGCTGTGGTAGTTTCACGCCGGTTTTCAGTGAGGCCGTGGTATCACTCCGGTTGAGCCGACCCATTCGTGCCGAAGCATGGCTTTCCCACACTTCTTCCTTCTCCTACTTCGATAAGTAGGTCTTTGGGTTTGACCCAAAATTCCTACTGGAATTCTATGTTGGTACACTTTATACATTTTTAAACTGCAATCCCTAACATGCCTGCCAATCGTGGAGATTTTAGCAATTCTCTCTTTTATTCTTAGCTACCTACCGCCAGGACGTAAAATTCTTAAGAAAACGAGCAGCCTAATCCAGGACCACACGGTTGTTGTTGATGGTTTATTTTTTACATTGTCTGGACTTGAAAAAAGAGACTGACCTCTGAGTTTGTTTCGGCATTTCTTCTCAGAGTAGTCAGATAGGAAATGCCGGCTTCATCTAGTTTTTTTCTTATCTATGCGAATATTATGAAGGAGGTATAATAAGTTTGTATGTAGGGGGTAATCTTTGGAACCGTTGGTCGGATTGCCAAAAATTTTTCACTGATAGATAGCTACAATGTTCCTGAGTGCTATAGGCAGCGGTTCTAAAGATTAACCCTAAATACAAACTTACAAACATACAAATTTTACCTCTTTATAATATTAGTATAGATATTTTTTTCATTGATGATAAAACTAATCAGATTATCAACTGCAATCAGGTGCACTCTTGTTTTATCAATATCTGTAATAATTGCAAGGCCAATGTTATCATGATCACATCATCAGCCTATAAGTGCCCACTTCTGAGCAAAGGCCTCTTCTCACACGGAAAAGGTCTGAGCATTAATCACCACGCTTGCTCAAGAACGGTTACCGATTTCAAACTTTTATAAATTACAAGTCCAGGTTTCCTCACGATGTTTACCTTCACCGTATGTCAGTGGTGTCTAAATAATCATAGAAAGTACATATAACTTGGAAAAAGTCACATTGGTACTTGCCAGGTTTCGAGTCCTCATGCATGAGAAGGGGGCACCTTAACCTCTAGTCCACCACGATAGGTCGATATTAGGAGTAGAAGGAAGGTATATATCAACAAATAGATCCTTTGGTATTGCGAGTGTCTATGGGCGGCGCTGATTGCTTACCATCAGATAATCCGTATTCTCGTTTGCTGTAGGTCAGGTCCCACAAAAGTGTGGGAGAGCCAAGCTTCGGTACGAATGGTTCGGGTCGACCAGAACTAGAAGACCAGAAAAAGACCAGACCAAGGCCTCAAAGAAAACTGGCGTGAAGCAATAACACTGTTGTGTTTCTCCGATTGAGTGAGGTTACCTTCCCGTCCCCCAATCCCAAACTATCCAAAATCTTAATAAGGCCGACAACGCCCTTGTAGTTACTCCTATAGTATTGCGAGTGTCCATGGGCGACGCTAATTGCTTACCATCAGGTAATCCGTATGCTCGTTTACAAAACAATCCTTTACGATGTTATCAAACACAGTACTTCAAGTCTTCAACAGGAGTAGACTCTTACGGAGTTCTGGACGATGATGATGATGATGATAATATCTGCGATTCACAAGCCCCTCAATATTTCAGGTTCAAGGAGAAGCCTGGAAGAAGCTACTCCGGACTCTGATCACAGCTGAGGAGTCGTTCGACGTGTTCCAGCACTACCAGGTGGATAAATACCTGACTTCCAGCGGACTGACCGTTTTACCTGAACATAGGGGACAGAATATTGGTGCTAAGCTGTTTGAAGCTAGGTATGTTGATATCTAGGTATTAATTTATTTTTTTTACCCGACTACGGCAAAGCAAAAGAAGGGTTATTTTTTTTATGTAATTGGTCGGCAAACGAGCAGACAGATTACCTGATGGTAAGCAATCAGCGCCGCCCATTGACACCGGCAACGGAGGATTTACGAGTGCGTTGCCGACCTTTTAGGGATTAGGGATTTGGAGATTTAGGGATTGAGGAGGGATTGGGGGCGGGGAAGGATTGAAGGAAGGGTATGATTTTGACAGGCTATGTATGTATGTATGTTCATCTGTTCCCTCGTAACTACAAAACTACTTATCAGAATTCGACAAATGACATATCATTAGAAACGTCTTAATCGTCCGCTGGTTATAGACTACCTATATGGGGTAACATCACAAAATTTAATGTGGTGTCTTCTAGCGGACAAAACATTCAAAGTAAAAAAAAATAAAGTTAAGTTAAATATGCCATGTTTGGTATAATTTGAAAGCGCTTTACTTGCATATTTTGAATATGTTATGTATATTACTAGTATTTGTTTGTTAGCGACATGCCCCGGCTTTGCATTAGAGCAATGCTGATACTACATTTCTCCACTATTTAATGGATGTTAGTATACATATAGATACATATACACCTTCCTCTTCAATCACTCTGTCTATTTAAAAAAAAACCGCAACAAAATCCGTTGCTTATGTTTTTTATACGGACCTACGTGTATAGGTACATATGTATAGAAGGTTTATTTGAATGACCGCAACAATGACGGAGTTACGAGTATGTACGTTGCCTACCTTCTGGGCATGAGTATATTGGAGATTTAGGGATTAGAGGAGGCGAGGATTGGAGAAGGATTTCAATTTGCCGTTGTGATTTTGAGTCTCCGAAAGTGAGTGCAGGGACGCACCCCATTGCACTAAATTCTCAAAACCCTAATTCCCAAAAGGTCGGCAATGCACTCGTAAGTTATCTATATTGCGGATGACTATGGACGGGGCTGGTTGCTTACCATCAGGTAATCCGTCTGCCCATTTGCCAACCTAACATATATTTTATTTCTATTCCAGGGTGCCTCTAGGCAAAGCCCTAGGCATAGAAGCTACAGCAACAGTCTTCACAGCAACGGCCTCCCAAGTGCTAGCAGCCAAATGTGGCTACGAGGTCCTGGCAGAACTCGACTATGCAGAAATGAAGAAATATGGCATCGACCTGAGCGGATGCCCTACCCCATCCGCTAAACTAATGGGGTATAAGTTTAAATAGAATTATATTATTTGTATATTTTAATAGTTAATGGTTTTTTTATTTTTTTCTCCCCTACACTACACCCCTACATGTGTACCCTTACAAGTGTGGGAGAGCCATGCTTCAGCACGAATGGGTCGGCTCGACCGGAGTGATACCACGGCCTCCCAGAAAACAGGCGTGAAACAACCACAGCGTTGTGTTTTGTGTTTCGCCGTGTGAGTGAGGCCCAATCCTTCCCCTCCCTCAATCCCCAAATCCCTAATCCCTAAAAGGTCGGCAACGCACTCGTTACACCTCCGTTGCGGGTGTCCATGGGCGGCGCTAATTGCTTACCATCAGGTAATCCGACAGCTCGTTTTCCAAAGTACTACATAAAAAAAATCATAATGACTTCTGTCCGTGGACAATCTTGATCTGTCTCCTCATTTCTTCGACTCATTATCAGGCTTGGCGGGAGGATCGGAGTTCGCAGAGTTACAGGTTCCGGTTTACCAGTAAACGCTACTGATCACTATGAAAAGATAAAGATGTATCGTTTTCTATGGAATAGGAGAAGTTTCAGAAGTATCACCTGATGGTAAGTCGTGTCAGCACTGCCCATGGACACTTGCAACACCAGAGGAGTCACAGACGCGTTGCTGGGCTTTTAAAAAGGAGTACGCACTTTTCTTGAAGGTTTTTGGTTCGGAAACCCACCGAAAGAGCATTCCAAAATATTGTTGTGCGAGGCAGAAAGTGTCGCGAAAATTGCACAGTTGTTGACTTCTTTTAAGACGGGGATGAAAATGTTATAAGGTAATTTGTAAGTCCTTTAGTCGGTTCCCATAAAACGTACAAGAAAAGTAGGAATGGCACAATGGAATTTTTAGCCTTAGCAGCATTGAAAAAGATCATTTTTCGCGCGTATTTAATAGGTTAGGATGAAAGCGAGGAGATACTTTTTTTGAGGAGTAAAATTCATCAAATTTCTTCTCCCACAAAGGGGATAGGATAAGTCACTCTCACTGACTAAAAATCAACCAGTCCCTTGTCCTGCAATATCAGCCCTGTAGGGCCCCGTCTGTGGTGGTCTATTGTACCATTGCCGCCTCCTACGGACGGGTGCTCAACTATGGACAAAAGTGGAGCAGTTGCCAGTGCGTTGTCAGCGTTTGTGGAGGAATTGGGCCTCCAGGAACCTCACTCACCCGAAAAACGACTTTTTTATGCTATAGGACGATTACCTGATGGTAAGCAATCAGCGCCACTCATAGACACCTGCAACACAAAAGGAGTTACGAGTGCTTTTCCGGCCTTTTGGGGATAAGGGTTTCGGACATTGAAGGATTGGCAAGGGATGGAGAGAGAGGGAGAAAAGAGGCCTCCGGTAACCTCACTCACACGGCGGAACACAACGCTATGGTTGTTTCGCGCCGCTTTTCTATAAGGCCGTGGTATCACTCCGGTCAAGCCGACCCATTCGTGCCGAAGCTTGGAAAAGGCAATAAAAAACATATTAATACGAATAATAATTTATTTCAATACAAGTTGTCTTTATACAAACCTTAGAAAATAATGTAAATGCTTTCACAATCGCTATACCTACTTACATACGTATTATTAAGACTACAATACGTTACAATACCATTTTTTAAGAGCCTTAACACGGCATACGATTTTGTTCGCAGAAAACTTGGAAACTACTAATCCAATTTTAATTAGACTCGGTATATAATAAGTAACATATCTATGAAAAAAATCAAATTGTAGATTCCTATGGAGAAGAACGAGCAAGAAACTCCATGGTTACTCTTTTTAAATCATTTTCTTTGTTACATTACGAAGTTGATTTCAATAAGAGTCTTTATCAACATATGAATACGCGGGTATTGACGCGGAAAATCATTATTTATATACCTTGGTAGGCTTGACGTTTCGACCTGGTTGCACAGGTCGTGGTCACATACAGGCTTCTTTATTAAGTTTATAAAAACTCACAATGATTTTCATTTTATGTATAGTATCTAATTAAAATGGGTACAGTATAGTTTCTATTAATCATATCTCTTATGTATGAAAACTAAGCGAAAAGGCTCTAAAACAAAAAAAAACTGTCTTAAAAAAAAAGAAAGTCTTTGGAATAAATACGTCAGCTTTTACTGGAGAAGAAAATGACACTGTGATCGTTATATGGCCGATTTTTCAATGGTTAGAAAAAAGTTACCTGGGGAATAATTATGATGCTGTCGCGTCAGAATGTTTGTATAAGACAGTGACAGCAACAATTTTATTCCTCAGATAACATTTATCTGACTATTGAAAAATCTGCCATGAGAGGTTCTAATAAAAACACAATGGTGGAATACTTATATGTATTTAAAAAGAGATTTTTTTTTTAAACAATTTTTTTATGCTCACCATTTGTTTTCAGTAAAAATCTTGTAAGGTAAATTTTACAAAAACATTTTCGTATGTACACGGAACAATACAAAATTGTGCGTGTTTATATTATAAGAATACTAATTTATATTACTTTTAAATATAGCTCTACTCACGTCTATACACACACAGACATATTCTATATCTATATAATCTATTCATATATGTATCCAAACTAATATTATAAATGCGAACTTGATGTCGTCTGTCTATTCTTCACGCCTAAACTACTGAATCTATTTGCGTGAAATTTGGTACAGACATAGTTTGGAACTCGAGAAAGGATATAGGATAGTTTTTAAACCAAAAATCGGCAGGAAGTCACTATCCCGCGTGAACAAAGTTGCGGGCAAAAGCTAGGTCGTGTTAGTTACACTATTTATAACTCAAGAACGGCTGAACCGATTTCGTTGAGAATTGGAAGAGATGTAGTTTAAAACCAAAAGAAGAACATACGATAGGTTAGAGTACCTAGGGTATGATAGGTAGGGTAGGGTAGTGTAGGTAGTCAAATGACGGGAGCAAAGCCACGGATATAAGCTACTTATAAATAATAATAGGTCTTTACCTATGAAATTGCCGTTCTGCGGTACTGGCCATTTCAAATCAAAATAGTTTTCGTTAGGCTAAGGCTAATTAATTTCGTTTTAAAAACATGGGATTCTTTTTCCAAAAGTAGTCATTTGTTTATTGATAAGTGTTACATTTTCATCGCATTTCAAATCAAAAAATTCGTTTAAATTTTTTCATGCAAAACGGCAATTTTATAGGTAAATACCTATTATTATTTGAAGTATATACCTATGTATTATTAGAACGACCATTTATTTCTATTAAAATATAATAATTTAGAAAAGCTTTGGTTAAGTTTACAATATAAAATATTTAATTACCTACTTTTCACGCAAAGACGTTCGAAATTAGATTCCTTTTTCGTCAAATGGTAACATATGTACATAGATGACAGCTTTATAAAATCCTACCAATACGGTAGTTTCCAACTAGTCAAATTCAATACTTTTATCCAAATGTCAAAAACGATACTTTTCTATGAAATTTGTAGGTATGAAAAACTGAGGTATGACGTCATAACAGTTTTGCGTCAAATAGCTTACTTATTTCACAATAATTAGCTAAAAAAATCTAAAACTTAGTGTATCGATCGATCGATGAATAAAAGTATAGTTATTTTTCAATATTTTATTGTATTAAAACGTCGAATTAATTTATTTTTGACCTAGGACACTATCCAATTAGCGATTTCGGAATCGAGCTTAAGAGCAGATTTTTCAATAGTCAGATAAATGTTATCTGAGGAATAAAATTGTTTCTGTCACTGTCTTATACAAACATTATTCCCCAGGTAACTTTTATCTAACCATTTAAAAATCAGCCCTTAATTTACTTTGACCAACCGACCTTAGAAATGAACCTCAAATATTATGCTCGGTATACGTCCTAGCGACCATTTGACCTAATAACAGCTTCCCATTAAACATAAACAAAAAAGTATTAGGTATATTAATTGTTTACATTGTCTGGACTTGAAGAGACTGACCTCTGAGTCTGTTTCGGCATTTCTTCTCAGAGTAGTCAGATGGGAAATACCTGGCTACATCTAGTTTTTGACGTGTAAATGGTCTATTTTATGGCCTATTTACAAAACTAAATTCATTGTTTCATTAAATTAGTTTTATATCAAAGGAACCACCTTCTCTGCTTAAGATTAGTATGTAGAAGCGTCATATCATGGCTTCCGTGACAGACCACCGCCACTCTTCTGGACGGGTGTATCATACCCGAAAAAGGAACTGGCCAGAGACCGGGCTGCAGCGCTCTCTGATAAACCTGAACCTCTTAAACTCGCCTATCTGTGGAGATCTATGGCAATCCCCTCTTCTGTAAGTAGAAAAGGCTGCAGCCCAGCGATGGACTCTTACGGGGTAATGATGATGATGATAATGATGTAATTGAATGTTTTTTTTTAATGAAAAAGTAGGGCAAATTAGCATACGAATTACCTGAATGGTAAGCAATCGTGACTGTCGCGGTGGCCCGAAGGTTAAGGAGCCCGCTTCTTATGCATGAGGGTGTGACTTCGAAACCTGGCATGACTTTCTATGATTATTTAGACACCACTGACATACGGTGAAGGTAAACATCGTGAGGAAACCTGGACTTATAATTTCTAATTATAAGTTTGAAATCGCCAACCCGCATTGAGTAAGCGTGGTGATTAATGCTCAAACCTTCTCCGTGTGAGAAGAGGCCTTTGCTCAGCAGTGGGCACTTATGGCTGATGGTGATAATGAAGCAATCAGCGCCGCACATTCGCTTCGCCGACCTTTTCGGGATTTGGAGATTTTGGGATTCAGTGTGATATTTTTATCTCTACAAAGTCACTCTTTATTTTCTGAATAAGTCAAAAAAAATGTGCAAATTTTACATAATCAATAATTAAATATTAAAATATGGCAAGAAAATACTTGTCAAAAATGTTTATAATTTTAATTTAATAGTTTTTTTTTTTTGAATGTATGTTTAAGATTATTTTTTATTCCGTGAATAGGTAAACAGAGACACATAATATACAGTGTGTTAGGACGAAGAATATATTTTGGTGCTCAAATACAAAAACTTTTTCCATGACACCAACATCCAAACTTTAAAAAACCTTAATAGCTATAATAAAACCTTACTATACTTTCTCACCAGTTACGTTGAATAAATGCAATACATGACTTACGTAACTATTCGAGGTTCCTCGACTCGTTTCAAGCCACGACCGGAGCTCATAATCTTGAACGAACGAGCAATACCGGTCGCAGTTATATTTGCTTTTCACAGCTAATTCACGTGATTATGTCGTAATGTCCAATAAATTTAGTATGTCTCACGATACTTGTTAATATTATAAAAATACCAATAATACTGTGCCCAACTCAGAAATAAACATTAACTGGTATACTGGTCGTGGTGGCCGGAGGTTAAGGCGTCCGCTTCTCATGCATGAGGGTGCGAGTTCGAAACATGGCAAGTAGGTGCCAATGTGACTTTTTCCGAATCATATGTACTTTCTTTCTTGTCAATACTTCTTTCTTACAATAACTGTGACTGGTTTCTGACATTATTATGTAAATCTTCATCAAGATAAGTTATGACGTCAAATTATTCAATGTATAAGTATTAATTTCCAGTACCTATTTTTAGTTTTAAATTATAGTTTTTGCTGTCACTCTTACTTACTTTCTATAATTATTTAGACACCACTGACATACGGTGAAGGAAAACATCTTGAGGAAACCTTGACTATTAATTTCTGATTATAAGTTTGAAATCGCCAAACCACATTGAGCAAGCGTGGTGATTAATGCTCAAAACCTGAGAGAGGCCTTTGATCAGCAGTAAGCACTTATGGGCTGATGATGATGATGATGATGATGATGATGAGAGCTGGTATACTTAATAACCTGAGTAGAGATATATTCTGACTTATATTCATGCAATTTCGAGTTTAGCTTTTACAATTAAATTATTAAATATAAATACATACATTTACTAATTTAAAAGGGAAACAATTTTTTAATAAAATAAACTTAAAAATAATAAATGCTGTTATTTTTGGTCAATAGATGGCGTTTATTTATAGCTAGCCCGTCTTTATCTATGGTCTTTCAGTTTAGGATATTAACTTAGGGATGATTTTTGGATACTTAGTTAAAAGTTACATGGGGAATAATTATGATGCTGTCGCGTCAGAATGTTTGTATAAGACAGTGACAGAAACAATTTTATTCCTCAGATAACGTTTATCTGACTATTGAAAAATCTGTCCTAAATGTAAACAATCTTGGCATGTCTTTTTATCAAAAAGTTGTGTAAAAATACCAAGTTAAAATGTTGACAATCAGGTCTTAACTAAATCGATGTTAGCTAATAAACTACAAACATTTAAATAATCTTTATTTGTATTTTATACGACCTCTTTAATATATAAAAAGACATACCAACATTGTTTACATTTAGGTAACTACCTAAACTACGAGACCATAATTTTGCTTTTAAATATGATAACTATTGATTAATTATTAAAGTTTTGACAGATACGGTGATTGGTCAAACATACCTTACGCTACAAGAACGCCATCTAGCGAGCACAAAGCGACATACCTTATTGTTTAAGTAAATATTAAAATTATTTCTTATACCTAAATACAAATTCACATACACATCACACAGATACACAGAATGATAAATTAATAGTTTTTTAACTAATTTTGGAATGGAGTTTTAATGGTATATCCGCTACATCAGAGCGATTATGGGATTGAAAACTGGTGGTATTAAATATTGGGGGGAATAAGGTAGTTTCCAACTGGTCAAATTCAATACTTTTATCCAAATGTCAAAAACTTTTCTATGAAATTTGTATGAAAAACTGAGTTATGACGTCGTAGTATTTTTGCGTCAAATAGCTTACTTATTACTTAAAAATTAGCTACAAAATATCTAAAACTTAGTGTAGTGATCGATCGATGAATAATAGTATAATTATTTTTCAATATTTTATTGTATTGAAACGTCGAATTAATTTATTTTTGACCTAGGAAACTACCTAATTGTGAATGGGGGAATATGAGAACTGAAGGAATTGTAAATTGGGTGATTTGGAACTGTGGTAAATGTAGACTGAGGGATTTGGAGATTTGACAACTGGGGGAATTGTGGATTAGAGGACTTGAGCGGAATTGAAGATTGGGAGGATCGGGAATGGAGGTAATAATACTATAAACGCCTAAATATTTTTATCTGGCTGTCTTTCAAATTGTAACGATACACATTACTATGATATAAACTACATTTTTCTCATACGAATAGAAAAAAAAATATTCGTAAAAGTCTTTAGCTTACAAAATAGGGTCTTATATAATTATTCTTTACATAATATATTATGTGTACCTATATACCTATTTTAGAATTATTTATACAAATGTACATAGTGATATTATTATATTGAAAGACTAGCGGCCCGCCCCCGCTTCGCACGGGTCCATCTATCATGCTATCAAAGGGTCACTTTTTCCTAATCTTCCCCTCTAGTTTTCTAATATTTTCTTTGATAAGAACCTTCTCCTGACAATAACAAATATAACAAAAAAAGAATTAGCAAAATTGGTCCAGGCGTTGTTGAGTTATGCGCTTACCAACATATTTTCCGATCCATTTTTATATATAAAGAAGATGTATATATTGTGTAAGGAGTGGTCAGACAGAGAAAAGAGTTTGTGATGTGATGAAGTCTGATAGGGGAGAGAGTAGGAGAAGACATGGTAGCTTTGGATAAAGACAGGAAGAATTCTCACTACATAGTATAAAACAAAGTCGCTATCTCTGTCCCTATATCCTTATGTACGCTTAAATCTTTATAACTACGCAACGGATTTTGATGCGGTTTTTTTATAGATAATATTAATTGAAGAGGAATGATTTATATGTATAATAACATCCATTAAATAGTGGAGAAATTTAGTATCAGCATTGGATCCGTGTGAAGCCGGGGCGGGTCGCTAGTTTTCAATATAATAATATTACTAAACTCATAAAAACAGATATGCATATGGTTCTAGACTTATCAAAAAAAATATTGAAAATAATGACTTACTCGAATCAACTCAGAAGAGCTCAACTAGTTTCAAGTCACGACGGGACTCTTATTCATGATTTACGTTTTGACTTGAAATAAGTTGAACTTTTATATACTTAGCTATTTATTATTTATTAAACTTTAGTATGACCCACGATAGCTACTTATCATTTAAAATTGTAATTATAATTAATTTAAATCATGGTAATTCGTGACACTATATAATAGAAGAACAGCATTCACGGGAACGCCGGCGTCCGCTTAGGTTTTGACGAGTTGGGTAATGTGATAGGTCGGTAAACGAGCAGACAAATTACCTGATGGTAAGCAATTACCGTTGCCAATGGAGACCAGCATCACAAGAGAAGTTATTACTGCCCTTTCGGCTTTTCGGGTGACTCCGGTAATTTCGCTCACAAAACATAAGCGCTGTTTCACGTCAGTGTTTTGTGTAGCCGTGGTATCACTCCGGTCACGCCGACTCAGCAATGGTGAATGCTTTTAAATTATTTTGTTGTGAATTATATATTATAGAAAAAACTAGATAATTACACATTATAAAATAGAAATGCTTTTTCGCATTTGTCTGCATTGAACTCGAAAACTGCCGGACGGATTTTTGTACAGTTTTAACGAATATATAGAGCGATTATTTTCTTAGTTTATTTAGACACCACTGACATACGGTGAAGGAAAACATCGTGAGGAAACCTGGACTTACAATATCTAATTATAAGTTTGAAATCGCTAACCGGCCTTAAACAAGCGTGGTGGTTAATGCTCAAAAGCCTCTTCTCACACGGAGAAGAGGCCTTTGCTCAGCAGTGGCCTTTGCTTATAGGCAGGTTTTCTTTATAAAGACATTTACATAAATCTAGAACCAAGTACATATCTATACTAATATTATAAAACCGAAGATTTTGTTTAATTGAACGCGCTAATCTCTGAAACTGCTGGTTCGAATCGAACAATTCTTTTTGTGTTTGTTAGTCCATTGATCGAAGAAGGCTATGGGCTATAAAACATCACGCTATGATCCGTAGTAGCCGAGCAGTCGGTGAAACCGCGTGAGATTAGCTAGTCTTGACATAAAACCATCCATATACAGACGTCATTAATATAAAGCTTCCCATTAACAATACTGATGATCAGTCTACTTCTTCAGTTTTTCGTTCAGCCAGTCAGCTGTCAGTTCGTCTATTTCTCTAACTTCTAATAGACGGGGGGCGCCCACAGCCGCCGCTAGCGCCCTCTGTGTTCCGGCGTACATTACCTGAGAATTATTATATTAATTAATTTATGCCAGTGGCATCGCTACTTTTTAGTTCATTTTTAAACATGGCAGGCGTGTTTGATAACGCCGGCGTTCGCTTGGGGTTTAATGGATTGAAATTGTTCGTCAGAAAACTCAGCAGCACTAGCTATACTGGTTGCAAACTGACACTTGCGTGCCTGTCTTCAGAACGGGTCCACTTAAACTGGTGTGGTTCTTTCATCAAAAGACCACTACAGGATGAACTTGCACGGTTCTCTCACATTATGTTATTTTTACATTGTCTGGACTTGAAAAGAGACTGACCTCTGAGTTTGTTTCGGCATTTCTTCTCAGTGTAGTCAGATAGGAAATGCCGGCTTCATCTAGTTCTTCACATATAATTTTACGTGTAAAAGTGCCGTTTTATGGCCTATTTGCAAAAATAAATTCATTTTTTCATTGTTTCATTGAATTAACCAACCTGTAGTTCCATATGCGCGTCTCTGGGCGTGTAGAAAATGAAACACATTGGAAAGGAGACGCGTCCATCGTCGTGTTCCATCTTGTAACTGTAAACATATAAGAAGCGCTAAGATAAGAAAATCCAAACTCATATTATAAATGCGACAGTAACTCTGCCTGTCTGTCTTTTCTTCACGCCTAAACTACTAAACCTATTTGTGTGAAATTTGGTACAAACATAGTTTGGAACTCAAGAAAGGACATAGGATAGTTTTTCAACCAAAAATCTGCAGGAAGTCACTATTCCACGCGAAAAAAGTCGCGGGCAAAAACTAGTTTAATAAGAGTAGTAGTTGTAGTTTAATAATTTAATATTACAGTTCTTTTTTCTTTCTATTAGGGTTTCGTAGTAAATTAGGAAACCTAATAGTTTCGCCTTGTCTGTCTGTGTGTCAGCGGATAATGTCAGTGAAAAAAGAGTAACCATGGAGTTTCTTGCTCGTTCTTCTCCATAGGAATCTACACTTTGGAACGAGCAAATAGCTTCACTAGAGGACGGACGGACAGACTGACACATATAAAGTTAAACCTTATGATATATTTTTTGCTTGACGTTCAAAAGTGCCTTTTTTGGTCTATTTGAAATAAAGAATTTGATTTGATTTGATTTGAGTGACCGTTAGCAATAGAAATTGGCGCCGCCCATGGAAACACGAAACACTAGTGGAGTGCGTAAACGGTCTTTTGGGGATTTAGGGATTGGGGAGAGATGGGAGAGAGCTAGCATTGGGCATCCAATAACCTCACTCACAGGGATTGGAACAGTTTGCCGGCTGCAGTCTTTCGCTCCAAATATAATTTAGGTGTCTTCAAGGCTAGAGTGAATAGGCTCTTAAAAAACTAGTGCGCCTTACCATTAACGATTGCATCACTGCTTACCATCAGGTGGGATCGCAGTCAAGCAATAGTTTATAGCAAGTAAAAAAAAACTCCAAAGGAGAAACAAAAGCTCGGATTGTTTCTTGGCCAGTTTCCTGTAAGGCTATGGTATTACTCCGGTCGAGGCGACCCATTCTTGACAATCGATTACGTTCAAGTCAAATCAGGAAGTTTTTTTTTGAGGTATAGATCGGCAATCGTTTGAACGCTGATCGATCGATATTACCTGATGGTAAGCGATCACCGACGCCCATGGACATGCAACACCAGAGAAGGTTTGAAGGTCATATCCCAAAAACCGGCAGCGACAGATCATTCCAAAATGTTGGTTTTAGAGATTAAAAGTATGAGGTCTTCTCCTCACCTGTATACAATGAACCGTGGCTGGTGTGACGGCAGAATGTCTTGCAACTCCTCCAGCTCCACATTCTCCAACTCTTCGTCCACCTCTAGCGTCTGTTTCTCTCTGTTCACCTGAAGAAAATGTGGGGAATAAAATTTATTAAGGACATTTATTTATTAAAGTAAAGTGATGACAGAGTTCTAAAGTTGTCGATGTAGCCCAAAAGATTAGCAAATTGAAGTGGCAGTGGGCAGGTCATATTTGTCGAAGAATCATCATCATCTAACCTGGGCAGATGGCTAGGACATTACTATTGGATCATTAAAATATGACAGAAGCCAAAAAATTTATTCATACGAAGAGTTTTTCTTAATCCCCAAACTTGGACAAGGGTGTGAATATCACAATAACATCATCCTAAGAATATGTCAGTAGAAACTTTAACTTCAACTAGAAAGCAGGTCTTCGCAATAATCTCCAAACCTGGCAATCAGATTGGGGATTATCATACAGCCAGAAAGATACCGATGACCGTTGGAGTAGACGTGTTCTGAGTGGCGGCCACGTCTAGGCAAACGTAAAGTCAAAGTCAAGTCAAAATCATTTATTCCAACTTAACCATAAATAGGTACTTTTGAAACGTCAAAATAGTGTAGGGCGCCCTCCAGCTATGTGGACTAATGATATCCGTAAGGCTGGCAGAGGTTAGATGAGAAGAGCTGAACATCGAGCTCAGTGGCGTAAATTGGGGAGGCCTATGTCCAGTAAGTTTTTTAAGTGTGGGAGAGCCAAGCTTCGGCACGAATGGGTCGGCTCGACCGGAGTGATACCACGGCCTCACAGAATACCGGCGTGAAAGGCGAGGTTACCGGAGGCTCAATCCCTTCCCTTCCCCTATCTCTTCCCGATCCTTATATCGGCAACCCCTATCCCCAAAAGGCCAGCAACGCACTCGTGACTCCTTTGGTGTTACGGGTGTACATGGGCGGCGCCGATTGCTTACCATAAGGTTATCCGTCTGCTCGTTTGCAGACTTATACCATAAAAATTGAAGGTTCAAACTGGTTTTGGTGCTTAATATTTGTTTATTAAGAATATCGGTTTGCCAAAATTCTTTCACTGATATATAGCTACAATGTTTCTGAGTGCTATAGGCTATTAAACATCACGCTACGATTAAATGGAGCCGAGCAGCGAGTGAAACCGCGTGAGAATAGCTAGTTTTGTATATTTAGGTTAACCAACAATTAATTACATCTTACATCAATACTAATAACTAATACCTACATGCTGAAAATAATTAGTAAGAATATAGTGAATGATACTTTCAATTGAAAGAAAACACTTTTGCCGACCTGAACTTATAAGTTTGAAACCACCAATTCAACTTGAGCAAGCATGGTGATAAATACTCATATTATGTTCTCATGTGAGAAGAGGCCTTTGCTCAGCAGTGGGCACTTATAGGCTAATGATGTGTGTGTAATATGCAATGCTGTGGTTATGGATGTTGTTATTCCACTGACCACATGTTATTTGACCTTCTAAACATATCAAATGCCAATATAACATCTGGAGCAAGTATTTATTTCACTTTTTTTTTTATTGATTATAGGTTCGCGCTTGACCGCTATCTCACCTGATGGAAAGCGACGATGCGGTCGACGATGGAGTGCGCTTACCTAGAAGTAACCTATTCACTCTTGACTTAAAGATACCCAGATTGTAACTATCAGGAAACACCGACTCCGGCAAGGAATTAATTAATATGCATAATGAATGTGCTCCCAAAACGTTTTGTACGTATATGTGGGACATCCACCATGTACCGGTGGCGCAATGCGTACGTCTGGTGCTCCGATGATGGAAAGGCTAGGCGGAATTAAATTATGTAACACTTAATCATTCTCAATGTAAATAAACAAAGCTATAGTTAGTATGTATATCAATATTCTTATTTACATTATATTGCTGTGGCTAAGGTAAATAATATTGTGACTATAAATTGAGATGTAAGCTATCCTATCTTTCAAGTTGGATCGAAATGCACACGGAATGCAATCAAATTTAAAATCAGTTTAGTAGTCCATCGCGGACAAACATGTGATACAAATTTTTACACACAACGCAACTCTTGGTTAAAGAATTATAAATAAAGAGATAGTGTGAAAGCTAGTTCCTGTTTTCCCAGCCTCACATACAGGAATTCTCTTTATAAGTATGTATCTTTGTTATATATTTCTGTTATGAATTCCTACAACGCCAGTACACGATGAATCATGGAAATTAATAAAATAATGAGATTCCTGTGTAAGTAGTCGAGTATCACGAACGTGACGTCAGTCGGGAGATATGCTTGAGTGAGTCAGAATGAAACCTAATGAAGCTTGGCTATTGACCGGAATTATGGAAAAAAAGTAAAATATACACACATATAGACACAAATACTTATCAATAAGACACTAGAGATAATCTACAAGCTTTTTATGCAAACTCTTTGAGATAAAATCAACGAAATAACGATAAAATACCCTTTAAAAATACCTTTAATATGAGCGCTGAATTCGACGTGTGTTTTTGAAACCTGAACTTCTTTAACACTTCTTTCACATCGTCTGTGATGTCGCAGACATTAACATTGTGTGCCGACATGGTAATTAATCGAGTTTATATATAAAAATAAACAATAAATACAGGATAACCACCAAGCTTGTTTACGTCGACAAATGACATTAAAACGTCAACGCCCTCTACTTCATATCAGTGACAGCTAAATAGAGGTGTCGGAATTTATAATAATATGATATTAAACTGATATCGAGTTTCAAATCTATTAATTAATTACATATTTTTTTACAAACACTTATTATAAAAAGGAAACTAAGTACCCATAAAGTCTAATACTTCCTTTCAAGAAGGACTCTTAAAAGAATTCAAATAAAGAATCCTTTTTTCTCAATTTTTCGAATACGGTTTCTTTTTACCCGACTGCCAAAGAAGGAGGGTAATGTTTTTCGAGTGTATGTAAGTATGTATGTATGTCTGTTCCTTTGTGACCTCCTGTAGCCTAAACGGCTTGATGGATTTTGATGTATGAGGTATCGTTAGATTTGTCTTGATTACGGGAGTGTCATAGGATACATTTTATCCTAAAAGTCCCACGGGATAAAGACATAATAATATTTTTTCTAAATTTCCCTTTAAAAAAATATGTATGCGGTATCATTAGATTCATTTCAATCACGGGAGTAATTAATATAGGATACGTTTTTTCTCAAAATTCCCACGGGAACATGTTAATTCTGCGTCAACGCAAAGCAACTCATGCGTTAGCAAGCAAAAAGATAGGGCGTGGCCTGGCATGCGGCGCCAAATGTCGTCGAAATAATTTAAAATGGTACTTACATATACATAGTCTTCTACATCTACAACATTTTTGTTAAATAAAAACAGCTAAAAAGTTATAAATAAAAAAAATATTATTAAAAAAACAAAATACCCGACTGCACACTAAAAAAGAGTAAAACAAGCCCCACAATACAAATTTACTGAATATAATTTATAAATGTTGATGGAAAGCATCGCAGGCGGGGACCACCTTGACCGCCACCAACGAAAATTCTGCTAAATGGTGCACAACAGAAATGACTATAAATAAGCCTCTGTTGGTCCCCGCCTGCGATGCTTTCCATCAACATTTATAAATTATATTCAGTAAATTTGTATTGTGGGGCTTGTTTTACTCTTTTTTTAGTGTGCAGTCGGGTATTTTGTTTTTTTAATAATATTTTTTTTATTGATTAACTTGTTTCAATATTAAGTATTATGTTTTTTTTGTCATATCGTGAAAGAACTTAATCAATTTCATATCCCTTAGTAATTATTATTCGTGTTTGCTTTTGCAAACTTGCGAAATAAATGATTACACTGATCAGGAAAACTACTATCTACATCTAGGTGTGTTTTTTATGGAATAGGAGGCAAACGAGCACTCGGATCACCTGATGGTAAGCGATCGGCGCCGCCCATGGACACCTACAACACCAGAGGAGTCACACGTGCGACCCAAAAGATGAGCTTTTTCCTTCGCGTCGTGTCCCAACGATTCTCCCTCCATGTGCAGAGGTAGGAATGATGGTCTGCAGAAATTGCCTTCGAAAGCTTTGGCGAGAGACCAGAACAGAAAAGTTCGAACGGAAGGCGATCAAGTCTCTCCCCAATCCTACCGATACCGTTTGACTTGGCCTTCGCTATGACTCTTTTGAAGGACCTGGAGGCAAAGTTAAGTGTGTGTGTAAGTACATTTAAACAATGAGTTTTTTATTAAATCTTTATTGGTTGGTCTTGAATTGTGTATGGAGTTTTTTGCTCATTCTCCATTCGAATCTAAAATTTGGAATGAGCACCTAGCTTCACTGACGAACAGACTGACAGACTACTTTTTTTACTAAAGAGGTACCTATTTATGGTTTATTTGGAATAAATGATTTTGACTTTGACTTTGACTTTTAATAAAATATTTGGTTGTTGCATATGACATGATTAATCGATTGGAAACTTTGTATATACCTAATCGATCTCAACAATTATTTGACCTTCTCTAAACAACATTCAAATACTAAAACTAATTATTATTTTACGTTCGTAATTTTTATATTGTTTCCATTCTTGTTATTTGATTTAGTGACGAAAATTTAGATAATATTCTATTTTTATTTTCATTCAAAACAAAAGGACATATCTGTAATGGACTGAGAATAATTTTCTAATACTACACCTTATTTTATAATACTACATTCAGAACGTGAACGTCAACTTGACACTTGACGTACGGAACGAAATGAAAAGTGAATTTTCCTACATAAATTGTTATCCAGAGCAACAAAGACATTTTTTGTTGAAATTCAACAAAAAATATAATAAAAAATATTTTTTTCTAAATCTCAAGTGAGTTTTCAACTTCCGTTCACTATTTCCGGGAGTTTTTTTCCGTAATATATGTGTGAAAACGTGCAAAATTGTGTCGTGTTTGTTCGTGATAAAAATATTATTAAATAATTTTATCGTTATTCTACAATAGTGTATGTTTAGGCGGCCTAATTAAAGGTCGACAGCATTGTTGAGGATTCTGTGGTGCTTGTAAGTATTGTAGAGTGCTTTTGAATAGCGATACTAGTAACAATCAATGTTTAAGAATTCATAACATCGTGTTTCTGTGAATTTTACGCGAGTCGTGGTTTACTTTCACATTGTTTGATGACTTTACTGTCTAATTAATATTCAAGTAACACTTAATATAGTTTATAATCCATTTTATCTCAAGATACAAAGTGTAATTAAAAACGATTACTCAATTTGTAGGATTAATATTTATTATTGATAAGAAATCGTCCTTTGTGATATCTTTGTGTGGTTACTGACCTAAATATGTTAATGAGAATGGGCCTTGCTTTTGTAAAGTACATAATTTCCATATTAATCTGAATATCAATGATTGTTGTGAGCATTTAATTTATTCAGTTGTTGAGGCATGGATTGTTACTTGGGAAAAACAAAAGACTGTCTTATTTATCTGGTCGTAAGCGCGACACCTAAGTACGTTTCGAGTTTAATTCCTAACCAAGTTATTTTTATGGTTTTTCGAAAATTCACACTTATAATTGTGGATTCTGGAGTCACACCTGGTATATGGCATCACACCAAGAAACTATATTAACATATAAAAAGTTAGTGTAACATTGTAAATTAGCATCTCTGCCTACCCCCCTGGAGAGCATAGGTTATGCCATTATATCTCTTTCATACTAAGATATTAAAAATCTATTGTTAAGTTCAGGTATGCGTGTATAGTAAGTTAAACCTATTGTTTATTAAACCAGTTATTTTATTATTGTTTGTTTTTGATGACATTTTTATTATACATTTATAAGTGTTTGTTATTATGTAATTGCACTAGCATCTATACTATAAATTTATTTGTACTTTATATAATATATATTTTTATTTAAGTACTACAAAGCTTAAGAGCGTTTGTTTGTTTGATTGTGCTAGTCTCAGAGATTACTGGGTTGAAAGGGATATTCATTTTATGTTGGATATTATTTAAAGTGTGAGAGAGCCAGGCTTCAGCATGAATGAGGTAGTGCAAACAAAGTAATACCAATAACTTACTAAATTGTGTCAAACAACGCCTGGATTGTGTTTTACCTGGTGAGTGAGGTTACCACAGACCTAATCTTCCTACCGCCATCTCCTTCCAATACCTATAAAACTGAAAGTTGGTCAATAACATATCATATATTTGTGTGCTAAAACTCATTAAATTTAGATCAGTAGTTTAGGAGTGAAAGTTTTACAAATAGCTTTTTTATTAAATTACTTTCTAATGTATAAATAACATTCATTTTATTATAAAGTCAAATACGTTCCAACTAAACTATACACAGATTACCTTTAAAAATTGACAAAATAGAATAGTAGTCTGTCAGTCTGTTTGTCTGTGTTTGTGCTACATTTTGCAAGTAAAACTATGCAACAGCTGCTAGTCTTAAATTTCTTTATTTTTGAGGAATAGGGTGGCAAATGAGCACACCCATTATCTGATGGTAAGCATTTTCATGGACACCTGCAACACCAGTGAAGTTTCACTGACCTTTAGCCAATTGTTGTTATAATGAACCAGCTACTCTCGCGCGGTTTCACCGGCTGCTCGGCCCCATTTGATCGTAGCGTGATGTTTCATAGCCTATAGCACTCAGGAACATTGTAGCTATCTATCAGTGAAAGTATTTTGGAAATCCGACCAGCGGTTTCAAAGATTACCCCCTACATACAAACTTACAAATTTTACCTCTTTATTATATTAGTTATAGATTTCTATTTTGGGGATGAGGGATTGTAAATTGGGCCTCTGGTAACCCCCAGTTCCATCCCCTGACTCACTGATAGTGCAAGTTTTATTTCCTACCAGTATAACATATGGCTTTTTTTTTGGGAGGGGAAAATCATCATATGACTTCTCGCCCAGGGCCGGATGGGAGTGTCAGACTCTTACTGACTAAAAACCCCCCTGTTCCTTCTCCTGCTCTGGGCCGAGGTTGCGGTGCCTCATTGCGCTTACCTCGCTACCCCGGCTGAGTGTAACATATCACTCCGGTCAAGTTGACAAAGCAGTGTCTAGGGATTTAAGGATAATCTTTCTATTAGTTTAGTTTCTATTATAACATTAACTATCTCATATATAAATAACCTACAACAGAATTGATTAGACTGTCCTGTTTGTAACCTTTGAAGTTTAAACAAGTGTAACAGAAATATGTTAAAAGTAAATATTATATTATTGTAAAGTTATTTCTTAGTACAACTTTATTGTTATTAGTGTTCTTATAATATCTACCTTCTTTTTGGTTGCCTTACCTTTTTAGGATAAAAGCATCCGTCACTCCTTCATTCTGCAACGTTTACTGCAACCTATCTGTTTTATAGGCCTTTAAGTATATCCTGCCATCTGACCTTTGGGCCTTTTCGAGAATATTTCTATGTTATGTGATAGGTCGTCAAACGATCTGTCAGATTACCTGATGGTAAGCAATCAGCGCCGCCTCTTTAGACCTGCAACACTAAAAGAGTTTAGCGTGCGTTACTGACCTTTTAAGGTTTTGGGTTTCGGAGATTTGAGGATTGGGAAGGGATGGGATGGGTTTGGGCCTCCGGTAACCTCACTCACACGGCGAAACACAACGCTGTGGTAGTTTCACGCCGGTTTTCTGTGAGACCGTGGTATCACTCCGGTCGAGCTTATTAATTTGTGCCGAAGCTTGGCTCTCCAGCGTTGTGTTTCGCCGTGTGAGTGAGGTTACCGGAGGCCCAATCTTTCCCTTCCTCGATCTCCTAATACCTAATCCCCAAAAGGTCGGCGACGCACCCGTAACTCCTCTGTAGGTTCGGGTGTCCATGGGCGGCGCTGTTTGCTTACCATCAGGTAATCCGTCTGCTCGTTGGCCGACCTATCACAAACAAGAATAAATGTGCCGCAGCCTCAGCCTCGAGCAGGAGAAGAACCGGGTGGCTTTTAGTCAGTAAGAGTCTTCGAAGAGAGATACTCCCTCGAACTCCATCTAAGGCGGTAGAAAACATTGGATAAATAATCCCTTTTCAAAAATCAATGATACTCTTAGGATGTTTTGGAAAATTAATATATTTCTATTTTAACATTTTATAACTATGTACACTATTTTGTTTAACTTTTACTAAACACACAATAGTTAGAAAAAGTAAATATCCACTGTATCTAGATTAGTTAGTAACTAAAAAAGACTTTACACAAAATAACCTACCTAATAACCTTGTGTTAAAGTTGGTTTTTCAATATCAACATTTAAATAGAAAGGTTACATTACTGTGCCAAGAGATAATAGTCTCTATTGTTTTCGTATCAAAGTTTATATTTCTAAATATAGTTGATGTTGACAAAACAATGCCTTAGTTTTGTTTTGTTATGAAACTGCGTTACAATGGCTTCGTGGTTACATCCGTGACTAACAGAGCAACCGTATTAAGGTTCGATAGTTGAGTAAGATGTCGTGGTGGCCAGGAGGTTAAGGGGCCCGCTTCTCATGCATGAGGGTTCGTAATCTGGCAAGTACCAATGTGACTTTTTCCGAGTTATATGTACTTTCTATGATTATTTAGACACCACTGACATACGGTGAAGGTAAACATCGTGAGGAAACCTTTTTTTTTTTTTGTCAGGGGAAAATCATCCAATGACTTCTCCCGCCCAGGGTAAGGCGAGAGAGAGTGTCAGACTCTTACTGACTAAAAACCCCCCCCGTTCCTTCTCCTGCTCTGGGCCGAGGTCGCGGTGCCTCATTGCGCTTACCCCGCAGCCCCGGCTAAACATCAGCCCTTTAGGGCCCCGACTGTGGTGGTCTATTGGCTCTTTGAGGCGCGCGCGGAACGCTACGCGCCGTACGCTCGGGTCCGGTTCTGGTCGGGCGGCGAGCTACCCTTACTCGCCGTCCGCAGACCCGCGCTTACGGTGGCCGGAGATCATCTCTCCATCCCCGACGTCCGGAATGTCGCCTTCTGCGGCGGCTGGGGCGCGAGGAGGATAGTTCCCTCACGCGCTCCGCCTCCTCCTTTGCGAGCATAACTGCTTCGCAGAAGGAGGAGATAGCTTCCCAGTTCCTCTCACGCTGCACCATGGCCTCGATTAAGGCCGGGCGCGAGAGGTCGCCGCCGCCGATCACTTCCCTGAGAACACGGCGGTGCTCAGCCCAAGCAGGGCACTCCGCCACCGTATGCTCCACCGTGTCCTCCAGGTGATCCTCACAATGACGACACTCGGGCGTTTCCTCCCGCTGGATCCGAAACAGGAACCTACCAAAGCTGCCGTGTCCGGTAAGCACCTGCGTCAGGCGGAAGGTGAGGACGCCGTGGCGTCTCTCAAGCCACTCCTCAAAGAATCGTGAGGAAACCTGGACTTATAATTTCTAATTATAAGTTTGAAATCGCTAACCCGCATTAAGCAAGCGTGGTGATTAACGCTCTAACATTCTCCGTGTGAGAAGAGGCCTTTGCTCAGCAGTGGGCACTTATAGGCTGATGATGATGATGATGATGATGAGTTGAATAAAACGTTTTGTTGATTAATATTTAAGAGGTCATTATTATTGCTGGTCACTGTTCTACCGTAGTAGGTGTCCATGGGTGGCGCTGATTGCTTACCATCAGGTCATCCGTCTCTATTACCAACCTATACCATAAAACAAAAAGAACAATAAAATCATGCAGTTACTTTTCTAAAAATATTTACCTAGCCACTTCACCCGCTGCTCGACTCCATTTGATCGTAGCGTGATGTTTTATAACCTATAGCACTCAGGAACATTGTAGCTATCTATCAGTGAAAGAATTTTGGCAATCCGACCAGCGGTTCCAAAGATTACTGTAATTTTTTTAGCCGACACGATATCGATGTCGATTTTTCACAACTTCATAATAACGCCGTAATAAAGGTGTATACAAAAATTCAGCTCATTAGGAATTTTTCCCCAGATTGGGGTATAAAATGCCTAAAATGACTGGACTACTAAAACTTAAAATAACAAAGTTACAGAGCGGCGAAAGTTCGCGCTACGTCATTATTTCGTAATTTTTTTACGAAAGAGTGACGTCACGAGGCCCTACTCCTGAATTTGAATGTGTTGTTTCTTTTTCAATATTATTCGTATGGACGAATAAAAAAATACTTATCGAGTATTTTTCTATAATCTAACTGACGGACTAATTAGAATCTTGTTGTTTTAACCCAGGGGACATCCCTATTCTAGACACAATACAAGATATAGAAGAACAATTTGTGCGCGAACGCCGGCGTTCGTTTGGAGTTTGATGAATTATTTAATGTAAATAATGCATATGTTTTTGTTTCAGGTATTGTGTAAACAATATGGACTGGACACACAGTGCAGTTTTGTGATTATTTTATGAAAAAAAAACCGCAATAATACATCAAGATGTCTTCCTCATGTGAGTTTTTTTTTAATATATTTTTTTTAGTTTGTTTTCGTTTTTAAACAAACGTTTAAGCGCTAGGATTTTAGCGGCAGCCAGTTGCCCAGCCACCGCGCCAACCGTGCAGTCAAACCGTGAAATCAAAATTATGAAACTAATTGTATACACACGTAAGTCTTCTATGACAAATCTCTCTATACACTAGTTAAATTAATTCGTTCTTACACTACTAGGTTATCACTTTATTTTTAAGAATGCTGGTTACCTGTAATTGGCGACTGTATAAGGCCAAAACCTAATGTTATTATTGTTTTATTTATTTTTGCTATATACAGAAGCTGTTGGTGTACCTTTTTTAAAATAAATAAATAAATAAAAATTACATCAAAATCTGCCGAGAAGTTTTTGAGTTTTACGTTAACAAACAGACACGGCTGACCCAACTTAGATATGTCGTTTAGTCGTGTATTCTCTTAAAACATTTTGAACCTTTTTGTAATCGATTATTAAAGTCCAAAGCTTAGTGAATGATTTCAGTTATTATCGACTACCTTTTAAATTACCTACTAATTATTCTACAAATTGTGTTCCCCGAAGGGTATAACCTGGGTGTCTTCAAGGCCCGAGTGAATAGGTTGCTTATGGGTAGACGTGCTCCATCGTAGGTCGCATCACCGCTTACCACCAGGCCAGAAACTTAGTACAAAAATGCCAGCCTGATGCAAATAATATCCAAGTATCATCATCATCATCATCGACAGCCTATAAATGCTTACTGCTGAGCAATGGCCTCTTCTCACAAGGAGAAGGTTTGAGCATTAATCACCACGCTTGCTCAATGCGGGTTGGCGATTTCAAACTTACAATTAGAAATTATAAGTCCAGGTTTCCTCACGATGTTTTACCTTCACCGTTTGTCAGTGGTGTCTAAATAATCATAGAAAGTACATATAACTCGGAAAAAGTCACATTGGTACTTGCCAGGTTTCGAACGCACACTCCTTAACCTCCGAGCCACAACGACCTTTTGTATAATATATCCAAGTATAACTCATACGATCTCGTGTCGTAGGTGGGGAAAAACATAGTTAACAGATACGTCAATAGTATTATGACGTCACACAATACAATGTAACGAGATTTTATTCATACTAATTATTTGATGACTAAGAAGGTAGACTAGACAGCCGTAATCGCCTCAAAGAGGCAATAGACCACCACAGTCAAGTGTGGGAGAGCCATGCTTCGGCACGAATGGGTCGGCTCGACCGGAGTGATACCACGGCCTCACAGAAAACCGGCGTGAAACAACCACAGTGTTGTGTTTCGCCGTGTAAGTGAGGTTACCGGAGACCCAATCCTTCCCCTTCCCAATCCCTCCCCAGTTCCTAAATCTCCAAATCCCTAATCCCTAAAAGGTCGGCAACGCACTCGTAACTCCTCCGTTGCGGGTGTCCATGGGCGGCGCTGATTGCTTACCATCAGGTAATCCGTCTGCTCGTTTGCCGACCTATTAAATAAAAAAAAAAAACAGACGGGGCCATCCCAATTTCACCTTCGGACGTACGGCGAATATCCACCGTTACGTTGTTGAGACTTGAGACACCTGCGGCCCGGACTAAGCGTTTTGCCTCGTCATTTATACCGCGTACATCGAGGGATTGGAACAGTTTGCCGGCTGCAGTCTTTCCGTCCGAATACAATTTAGGTGTCTTCAAGGCTAGAGTGAATAGGCTCTTAATTAGTGCGCCTTACCATCAACGATTGCATCACTGCTTACCATCAGGTGGGATCGCAGTCAAGCACTAGTTTATTGCAAGTAAAAAAAAAGATAGTGCTGCAGTTTCTCTATACCGGGAGACAAAGGCGAGAGAAAATGTATATGTATAGTTACCTGAACTATATGTTGCGAAACCATTGTCATAGTGAACGGATGCTATGAAGCGTGGTTTGTATATATGTTAGTATCAGCGTCAATATCAATAGCCTGTTATCTACCCAAAATTTAAAAAAAAAAAAAAAAAATATCCAAATCCAAGCTAATATTATAAATGCGATAATAACTCTGTCTGTCTATCTGTCAACTCTGTGTGTAAACTACTGAACCGATTTGTTTGAAATTTGGTACAGACATAGTTTGGAACTCGAGAAAAGATTTCAACCATCAAATTTCTACTATTCCTATGTCCTTTCTCGAGTTCCAAACTATGTCTGTACCAAATTTCACACAAAGAGGTTCAGTAGTTTAGGCGTGAAGTAAAGACAGACAGAGTTACTTTCGCATTTATAATATTAGTTTTGAACTTTTGATTATAAGGGTTACTGGTTGACTACGGAGCCCAAACTGAACAAGAATTGGTGTGACTTATTATGTATTATAGTCTGCCATCTTTCGAATGCAGTTACTAAAATATTATTGTGTGCATAATAACATCCGCCCTCGATAGTCGAAGGTTACATAATGATATCTAAATAATTATTTATGCATATGTACTGGATTCGCTCCAAAATGAAGGTCGACCTCAGTGGTTGGATGTTCAAGAGGCATTTTTCAAGTTGTGGCCGTAAACGAACTGGTGATTTTTAAGACCTATTTTTTTTGTGATCGGTCGGCAAACGAGCAGGCGGATTACCTGATGGTAAGCAAGCAGCGCCGCCCATGGGCAACGGAGGAGTTACGAGTGCGTTGTCGACCTTTTGGGGATTAGGGATTTGGAGATTTAGGGATTTGGGGAGGGGAAAGATCGTTGTCGATGTGTTGCCCTACCCCCATTCCTTAAATATCCAAATATCTCCACTATTTCATGGCTATCATTATACACATAAAACTTCCTCTTCAATCCCTCTGTCTATTCAAAAACCGCATCAAAATCCATTGCGTAGTTTTAAAGATTCACACCCGGTTTCTGAAAGGCTTGTCAACGCTAAAATTAACTAATCTCCTGTTAAATCTCTTGTCAAGTCATCTGATTGGTTGTTGATAATTCAGTCAACCAATCAGATGACTTGACAAGAGATTAAATTGATTTTAACATTGATCGGCCTTTCGGAAACCCGGTGTTAATCATACATAGGGATATAGGGACAGAGAAAGCGACTTTGTTTTATACTGGGTAGTGATTATATGTTGTTTACAAGTTTTATTGTAACTAACTATTAATTTCCACTGCAATTCAATCTGATAAATTAGAAAGAGACAACGTTATGCGCATGCGCACACAGTCGTGTTATGCGCTCCGTTTAAATGATACGAACTGTTGACCTCTTACCAGTATTAGTCATAATAATTATTAATCACACATTGCTAGTTTTCCGCCTTTAATAATTACTACAGTACCTACACATATGTGTGGGTACACACACACCTACCCCACACCACACATACACACTCACACAACACACACCCTCAACACACACCCTCACTTCCTTCATCATCATCAACAGCCTATAAATGCCCACTGCTGAGCAAAGGACCTCTTCTCATACGGAGAAGGTTTGAGCATTAATTATCACGCTAGCTCAATGCGGGTTTTCGATTTCAAACTTATAATTAGAGATTACAAGTCCAGGTTTCCTGACGATATTTACCTTCATCATATAACTCGGAAAAAGTCACATTGGTACTTGCCAGGTTTCGAAGCCATACCGTCATGCATGAAAAGCGGGCTGCTTAACCTCCGGGCCACCACGAGATTTTGTAGCGCCTCATATCCTTAATCCTCACAATTCACCCAGTTATACCTACTTAAATATTATATTACCTAACTGGAATGATGTGCAGCTTTTACCTGTTACCCACTTCCGGAGTCTGGAGAAGCTGATAATCCGTCATTCAGGTCCCCTAGTACAGAAACCAGTCTCTCACATTTTTTTTATGTAATAGGTCGGCAAACGAGCATACGGATTACCTGATGGTAAGCAATCAGCGCCGCCCATGAACACCCGCAACGGAGGAGTTACGAGTGCGTTGTGAATTAGGGATTTTGAGATTTTGGGAAAGGGGACGGATTGGGGTAGGGGAAGGATTGGACCTCCCGGTAACCTCACTCACACGCCGAAACACAACTTCATAAATGATTATTTCACGCCGGTTTTCTGTGAGGCCGTGGTATCACTCCGGTCGAGCCGACCCATTCGTGCCGAAGCATGGCTCTCCCACACTTATTATTAGTTAGTTTATTTTGTGGCACCGACGACATTGTCAGAGTCGCGGGGAGCCAATGGATGCAGGTGGCAACTTGTCGTTCGACGTGGAGGATTAAGGGGGAGGCCTTTGTCCAGCAGTGGACGTCTTCTGGCTGATGACGATGATGATGTTGGTAATGAGTTCGCCAGGTTAGCTAGTTTTAAACAGAATCTGTCATTAATGGATCTTTTTCTTCTTTACAGTTGAAACGACGGAGATGCTGGAGAAGACGCCTCCGTAAGTGGATATTTGTATTACCTAAGATTTTTTTTAAATCGTTGACCCGTTTTGCGGTTTTCTCCTGTGTCGTGGGTGCGTTTACAAACATACAATTTTACATACACATCACACCCAGACCCGGAACAACAATTTGTGGATCACACAAAGAGTTGTTCGGTGGATCCAAACTCGCGTCACGATGCACGGCAGCTGGTTGTCGAGTCACAGCGTCAAACGTGCATTAAAATTGAATGTTAACATCTTTTTATACGCTTAGTTTATATTTAGTCGTTTATATTTCTGGTGCTCAAGGCGTGGTGGCATGGTTACTTGAAAAAGAATCTCAAATAGGTTCTCAGGTAAGGTCAAGGCAACCAATACCGACCGACACCAGAGAATTTACAGTTTCATTGCCGGCCATTAGGGATTGCAGTGGGGATGAAGGGCCTCCGGTAAGTTTCTTTTTTATGTCATAGGTCGACAAACGATCAGACGGATTACCTGATGGTAAGCAATCAGCGCTGCCCATGGACACCCGCAACAAAGAAGGAGTTACGAGTGCGTTGCCGACCTTTTAAGGATTGATTTTGGGGATTTAGGGATTGGGAAGGGATTGGGGTAGGGGAAGGATTGGGCCTCCGGTAACCTCACTCACACGGCGAAACACAACGCTGTGGTTGTTTCACGCCGGTTTTCTGTGAGGCCGTGGTATCACTCCGGTCGAGCCGACCCATTCGTGCCGAAGCATGGCTCTCCCTCACTAACACACTAACCTCCGGTAAGTTTCTTTTTTATGTAATAGGTCGGGAAACGATCAGACGGATTACCTGATGGTAAGCAATCGGCGCCGCCCATGGACACTGGTAATACCAAAGGAGTTACTACAAGTGCGTTGCCGACCTCTTGTGGGTTATTCGGGATTTATGGTTAGGGGATATGAAAATTGAGGATGGAGGAAGGTGGTTGAATAAAATCTAACGACATCTCACCAAGAGGAAGGTGGAAGGGTGTCTGAAATTTCAAACAACAATGGTATACAGGGTGTAAAAAGACACTTAACGAAGCCGTTAACTACGCATACTGCAGTTCTAACTAAGTAGCTTTACGCTAAAATTATCACTGGGAAACGACTTTTATTTTTAGGTACCAAAAAAAAAAATTTATTGCGCGCAATGTAAAGCAAACGGGCTTCTTGTCATTGTGTGCGTAGGTTCACAGCTTAGTATGAAAACGCTTTGATAAGTACGTAGGTCGACGTTTTACTTCGCAACAACAAAACAATTCTGTAAAATAAAAATCCTACTGAGATGTACGATGTTTTTGTGCGGGTCTGCATTTATTTATTACGTACATTACTGTTCGTAATCAAAAATTCAGGTAATGTTTGTTTGGAAAAAAGTTTTGTAATATCAAATCAAATCAAATCAAAATCATTTATTCCAAATAAACCATAAATAGGTACTTTTGAAACGTCAAAATAGAATAGTAGTCTGTCAGTCTGTTCGTCAGTGAAGCTAGGTGCTCGTTCCAAATTGTAGTTTCGAATGGAGAAGAACGAGCAAGAAACTCCATCGTTACTCTTTTAAAAAAATATTTGTTTTACAATTCATCAATAATACATTTTTTATACATTACTGTACCCCTATGTGAGAACAATGCAGAGACAAGTTGTTAATAAAAAGGAACAAATGATGGTCTATTTAATCTATCATTAAAATTTTAATCCTTTGTTGTCTCGTACATGGCGCTCACATATGCGTACTCACAATTCAAAAGAATGCTTCTATATAAACTCATTCAAGGTTTCAATAATTTTGAGAATTTTGATAACTACTGACTACATATTTGAGAATTGTCCAGTGGAGCCGAACCAACATGCTGCCAGGCATTCTTATCCTCAATATAATCTGAAAGTTTGTAGTATGCCTGTCTACATAATTCGCGTTTAATATAAGTTTTAAATTTTCGTTCATTAAGATTTAATACACTTCTTGGAATTTTATTGTAACAATTTACACAGAACCCCATAAAGGATTTCTGTACTTTGGACAGACGGAATCGTGGCACAGCCAGCCTATCTTTGCCTCTAGTATTAAAATTGTGTCTATCGCTTCTTTTTTCAAATAATTGCAAATTTTTCCTTACGTACATAATATTTTCATATATAAACTGACAAGGTACCGTTAGGATATTTATCGTTTTAAATAGTTCTCTCAGAGATTCACGAGGGGACAAGTTATATATCGCTCGGATAGCCCGCTTTTGCAAAATAAATATTGAATCTACTTCCGCAGCTCGACCCCATAGCAAAATTCCGTACGACATAATGCTGTGAAAATAGCTAAAATAAACAAGCCTTGCTGTGTTCACGTCTGTGAGCTGTCTAATCTGTCTAACTGCAAAAACAGCTGAGCTCAGTCTTCCCGAAAGCGTCTTTATGTGGGAACCCCATTGAAGTTTATTGTCTAGAGTAATACCTAGGAACATAGTCTCGTTAACAAATTCTAACTTTTGCCCATTTAAAATTATGTCACAATCATTATTGTGTACGTTGGGCAAGCTAAATTTAATACATTTTGTTTTTTTCTCGTTAAGTGCTAAATTATTGACTGTAAACCAATTATGAACTCGATGAATGGAGCTGTTTACTTCGTCCAAATTATTAACACGTCGACCTATTCTAAAAATTAATGATGTATCATCTGCAAACAGCACCATTCTTGGCTCGGTTTTAAATAGAAATGGCAAGTCATTAACATACACTAAGAAGAGAAACGGACCCAAAATTGAACCTTGCGGTACGCCAATTTTTATCTCAGAGCCCCGTGAGTTAGAACCACCTACATGAACTCTCAGCTGCCTATCCTCTAAATATGACTTTAGTAGACGGAGTGCAGTATGTCTAATCCCGTAATGATCTAATTTCAGCAAGAGTGTTTCATGATCAACGCAATCGAACGCCTTTGAGAGGTCGCAAAAGACACCAACAGCATCCTGTGCTTCCTCCCAAGCACCGAATACCTCCTTTATCAAAGTGACACCGGCGTCAGTTGTACAACGACCTTTAGTGAAACCGTATTGTTGGTGATGGAAGATGGCATGTTTATCAAAGTGATGAAGCATCCGAGATAGCATTAACTTTTCAAACACTTTGCTAAGAACCGGTAGAACAGACACAGGCCTATAGTTGTTTGGTTCCTTAGTGTCACCATTTTTGAATAATGGAATAACTTTACTGTATTTCATTAGGTTGGGGAAGACACCGTCATCTATACTTTTATTGAAAATCAAAGCCAGATACGGCGCTAAAGTTCGGATAAGTGATCCGCAGACTTTCACCGATAGTCCCCAAAGGTCCTCAGTTGATTTAATCTTGATTTCTTTAAAAACCTTTATTATCTCTAAAGGATTAGTATAATGAAAACTAAAATCGTCTTTGCATGATTTGACATTTTCTCTAAGCAAAGTTACCGATAGTCTAGCTGATGATTCTAAATGAGCAGTTGTTGAGACAGGTATATTAGCAAAAAATGCCTCAAACTCCTGAGCTACATCTTTGCTTGACGAAATCTGTCCCCTTTCAGTGTTTAAACAAAATTCCGAATTTTTTAATCGTTTCCTACCTGTCTCATTCTGTATTATTTTCCACGTAGCCTTTATTTTGTCATCAGCTGATTTTATTTTATTACTGATGAAAAGTCGCTTTGCGGCTTTGCATACTATTCTAAATGTTTTTGAGTACAATTTTACATGTTGATGAAAAAGGGGGTCGCAATTAAATGGTTTCATGCCATAAAGTTCAAAAAGTTTATCTCTACTCTTACGAATACCTACGGTTGCCCAATCGCTAAACTGAAACTTAGAATAGATGTCTTTACATTTCATTGGCAAAATAGCTTGAAATTCCCTATTTAACACCGCAAAAAATTTTTCGTATAACTTGCTCGGATTAATGACATCAAACTTTTGTACACTTAATTTAGTTGCTATTGAATTATTGAGTTTCTCTAAATTTCTATTTGTAATATGTCTAAACTTTATTTGAATTTTTTGTAGAGGCAAATAAGTGCTGTAAGTTACCACAAGACCACTGTGGTCAGAAGGTAAACTGTTTAAAATTTTTTTTTCTAAATAGTTACTGTTACTAAAAATGTTATCAATACATGTGGCAGTGGATGGTGTTATCCTAGTCGGTTCCAGAAAAACATTTTTTAAATTAAATGATCCAAACAAATTTAATAGTTCCATGCTGCCTGCATTGTTTTCCAATAAATTAATGTTAAAATCGCCACATACAAGTACTGATTTATGGCTAGAACATACCTTCTTCAAAACATCTTCCATTACTGAATCAAACACTGCAAGATTCTGATAATTAGGTGGTCTATAAACACAAACAACAACATGTTTATCCAGCTCAACACAGGACAACTCAATAGTGTGTTCAACTGACAGTGCTACAATATCTTTCCTTTCTTTGGACTTAATGCCATTTTTAACTAAAATTAAGGACCCACCATGTAACATATATTTTCTACTAAAATTACTTATTACAATATAATTATCAAAATTAAAAGATATTAATTGGTCCTCTTTCATCCAATGTTCCGCTAAACACACAATATCAAATTGTGTTTTCTCGAGGAACATTTCTAATTCAAATAATTTAGAGGAGCAGCCCTGAATATTAATATAAAATAAGATAAGATTGTGCTGCCCCTGAGCCTGTGTAACAACATTTGATATAAGTTTTTTTTTGCCAGAATATACCTTACTACTAACATTATATATGATGGTATGTTCTGTTGTCTTAAAATCTAGTTTAAATCTATCTCTGTGTTGTTAGGTAGCCTAGACAGCACAGATTCGTCCCTAAAACTAATATCTGTTATATTTTTTATAACAGAGTTAATATTGAATGCTATTAGCATAGCAAGTGTTTTTCTATATGTGTTTGAGAGGGATATGCCTCTCTCTGACAATATAAAATCACTAATAAATTTATTAGTATCAAAAAA